TTGCAGGCATCATGCCCGAAACGACAAAGCACCCGTGAAGCAGCCTTGACCCTCCAAATCCATGCGCCAACCGACATACCTTGGTTTACCTGGACCCTGCAAAGCCTACCTTTTGGGGTTCCTTGAGATAATCTCTTTATACAAGGCCTTGAAAGGGAGGCTCTTTGGGCCCTTGGTTTAAAGGGCTTTGGGGCTCGCTTCGAAAAATCCCAAGAGATGATGAAACGACGAAAGGCAGCTTTGTGAGATTCCACAGCCAAGCCCCTGGCGCCCCCCGCCCCCTTTCCCCACCCAAAAAAACACAACCAAGGAAAACTAAAAATCAACATAAGCTGAGAAGGGCCCGCCTTCCCAGTCTTCACGGACCGTAACCGGCCCCGCCTTTGCGCGCAGCGGCTCTAGAAAGTCTGTGACGTCAAGGGCGGTAGGGCTTCGTGCTTTTTTTTGGGGGGGTGTATGTAAGTACAAGGGTGCTTTGGTGCAGGGTTGCAGGCGTCCTTACAGTTGTCGGACTTTTCCCTAAACCCTAAAGCCATACTGTCTTTTAGGGCCTCTGCAGGGTACCTCTTTGTGTCTCGATTCGATACCGTTTACGGCGGATGAAAGTTGCAACCTTGTGTTAGGGTTTAGGGTCTAGGGTTTAGGGTTTAGGGTCTAGGGTGTTTCTGAACTTTCAAAGGCGGCGAAGAAAGAGAACGTTCAGGCGCTTAGGGCGTTCGGGCGTTCAGGTTCGAAGATTAGGGATTTGCAACATAAAGGAACAGGGCTCCTTTGCATCCATGGTAGGGATGCCCCAGCTCCTCCTCTAAGCATGTTTAGTGCGTTTCGGATGCGAGTTTCTTGGAGTCAGGCTTCCGGCACAGGTGCAAACCCAAGTTGAAGGAAACGCGGAACCTCAAGACCCCCAACCTAAACACCAAGGCACAAGCTGCTTGCCTCTACATTGAATCCGAAACTTCAACGAGTCACAGATTGAACTTCAAGAAACCACAACACCCGGGGAACCCAGAACCCTATCCGTTGCCTCTCTGCTTCCTCTTGAGGCGCCCAAAGGCAGATCGCATGCATCTCATAACCCTCGGCAGGCGTAGCTGTGAGGATCGGGAGCCAAGGGACCCTGAACCCTAAACCCTGAACCCCTGAACCCTAAACCTTAAACCCCTCAACCCGCGCAAGCCTTGTCCCATCTCGGGGCCTTCGACTGCAATTTGAGCCAAACTCACACACTCCCAGCAATTAAACCCGGCCCTAGATCCCAAATCATACAGACCCGACACCGTACAAAGCCTGTACGAAGCTTCAACCGACCCGTTGAGGGGCTTTGGATTTTGGGCTGGCGGGCTGGGGAATGAGTTGCGGCTCCTGTTTAGGAGCCTCTCCCTCGACTCTTTTTTCAGGAAACCCTCGAAGCGCGAAGCTACCCAGCTGCTTTCTGCACTCCAGGCACAGCATCTTGCAGCGACTTCAGCATGTCCTTGACGCGCTCCGGTTTCCTTTGAGCGGATGCGAGTGAGGTATTCAGGGACCCTGGTACAGCCACGGCTCAGACTCCCTTCAAAGCTTGTCCGTAACAAAGACCCATTACAAGCACAGGAAAGGACTGTTGCATCAATCCGTCTACTGCCTCTCCACAAGAGCTTCTCCCTGCGAACTCGGATCCTACAGCCTGACCCCGAACTCCGAAAATGGCCACCGCACTCCGGGAAAAATCGTCAAGCCAAGCACAAGATCAACACCTCAACCCAAGCCCTCCAATTCGGCACCCCCAAACCCTTGAAGGCAAGCTCAAGGGGCCTTAAGAATTACCTATAGTATTCCATAGGGTTCCTGTAAAGCGGTCTACAAAGGGATCTATAAGGGTAAAGGGCTCCGGGCCCCAAGAGAAACGCGCGAAGCAGAGCGGAAAAAAGACTTCGGGACCGAGGCGCAGAGCACAGTCAGGTAGAACGATGTTCTGACGGTTCCTGAGCTTGACAGAGAATATCAGAGTATCAGGGTTTAGGGTGTAGGGGTTTAGGGGTTTAGGGTTTAGGGGTTTAGGGGCTTAGGGGTTTTAGGGGTTTAGGGGTTTAGGGGTTTAGGGTTTAGGGGTTCAGGGTTTGGGCTTGGAGCCAGCGCTCGTAGTCTGGGCTTCCGGGCTTGAGATCCTCAGCAAAATTTGCTAGGATGTACGATGATGTACCATGATATACAATCATGCTCTACAACATACTATGACTTACTCGAATACACTATGATCTACTATAATGTTATAATGTACCCTAGTATGCTACCATGTACATGTCTTCGTTCGAACCGGGGATGGGATTTCCTGGAGCCAGGGTCGATCCACGGAGCCGCTGCGAATCTTTGCAGCTGAGCCGAAGGCCTTCAATCCCATCCCTCAGTGAAGCCTAGACCCAAGCCCTAAACCCGAACCCTACCCCCCCAAACTTAAACCCTAAACAAGAACTCTGAACCATAAACTTAATCTTAATCCCTACACCCGAACCCTAACCCCCAAACTTAAACCCTAAACAAGAACTCTGAACCATAAACTTAAACTCTTAATCCCTACACCCCAACGCTAACCCCCAAATTTAGACCCTAAACAAGAACTCTGAACCATAAACTTAATCTTAATCCCTACACCCGAACCCTAACCCCCAAACTTAAACCCTAAACAAGAACTCTGAACCATAAACTTAAACTCTTAATCCCTACACCCCAACGCTAACCCCCAAATTTAGACCCTAAACAAGAACTCTGAACCATAAACTTAATCTTAATCCATACACCCGAACCCTAACCCCCAAACTTAAGCCCTAAACAAGAAGTCTGAACCATAAACTTAAACTCTTAATCCCTACAACCCAACGCTAACCCCCAAATTTAGACCCTAAACAAGAACTCTGAACCATAAACTTAATCTTAATCCCTACACCCGAACCCTAACCCCCAAACTTAGACCCTAAACAAGAACTCTGAACCATAAACTTAATCCTAATCCCTAAACCCGAACCCTAACCCCCAAACTTAGACCCTAAACAAGAACTCTGAACCATAAACTTAATCTTAATCCATACACCCGAACCCTAACCCCCAAACTTAAGCCCTAAACAAGAAGCCTGAACCATAAACTTAAACTCTTAATCCCTACAACCCAACGCTAACCCCCAAATTTAGACCCTAAACAAGAACTCTGAACCATAAACTTAATCTTAATCCCTACACCCGAACCCTAACCCCCAAACTTAGACCCTAAACAAGAACTCTGAATCATAAACTTAATCTTAACCCCTAAACCCGAACCCTGACCCCCAAACTTAAACCCTAAACAAGAACTCTAAATCATAAACTACACCTTAATCCCTACACCCGAACCCTAACCCCCAAACTTAAGCCCCAAACCCGAAGCCTAAGCTTTAAGATCCAAATCCCTGGAGCCGCGGCCTCTCCGCAACCCTGCCGCCACGGGACGCAATGGCTTTCTTCAGGATCGACTTCTTCAAGCCTGGTTGGGAGCTCCGGGGTCCCAATAAGGGGCTACTACCAGGGATGCGGTATAAACGGCTACTACACGTGGTGATTATAAATGGGCAAAAGTTGGGGAAGAAAATGGGGCTACGAGAAACCGAAACTCTTTGGAAAACCAATGAAGTTCGGTCCTCCTAGGAGTATATATGTAGGTGTGCGCGTGTGCGTATGCAAGTTTGTGTTGATGCATGTATATGGAACTCTGTGCAGGGACGTATTTGTCTCTGTGTGTCTCTGCTTGCATGCGCCTAACTCCACCGTTCCTTCTCGTTTCACCCGAATTAAAGGTTAAACCCTAAGCACTCAACCCTGAGCCCTCAACCCTGAACCTAAAACCTAAACGCTGAACCCTTACCCCTAGACCCTGCTTTCTTCTTTGCACGATTCTCCGCCCGAGCCTTCCTCCCTGACGCGCAAACCTGTGAAACCCAAAACCACTATGTCAGCATGCTCAGCTCTGTAAATCCTCGACTGCGAACCCCAAACCCAAAATACGACACCCAAACCTTGAAACAAATCCTGAAACCGAACTCCGAAATCCTTCGACCCTGAAACCCTGATGGAACCCGTGAGCCCGCAGCATCTAGGAGACTTCTACTATAGTTGTAATAAGGAACCCCTAAACTGATATGTGTAATCATTGTGGCCCCTCCAATGGGACCCCTGAAACCCTGTAACCTCAGGAAGGCCGGCCTTCCACGCAGCCGGTCTCCTGCGGGCTTCGTTGCATGAAACGAATCAAGGTTTGGGGATTGAGGTTTGGGATCCGTTGGGGCTTCAAAGCAGAACGCCTTGCGCGGCAGCACGGTTCAGCACCGAAGCAAACCCGTTAACCCAAAGCCGAAACCTTTGACCCTAAGTCCCTTGAGGAATCCTCCAGCAGCCTTGCCCAAACTTCGAGACCTAAATCCTAAACACTTGCCCTACGCAAACCGTACCTAAACTCTAAACTGTGACGTCCACTTCCGTTCAGATGGCTTGGGGCTCTTTACGCAAAAGTTTCGGAGGCTTGCTTTCGAAGTGACTATACGGGTTGCTTTAAGTTCTACTATACAGGTGCTTGTACAGGTTATTCTTAAGGGCTGGGCTTGAGGCGTTAGATTCTCTGTTCCCTAAACCCTAGACTTCCTCAACACTAACCCCGAAACCCTTAACCCTAGGCCTCAATCCGCTTACCCAAACGACCCTGCATACGAACTCCAAGCTCGAAAGCAAGTGCCCCTGGTGTCGGGATTTGGTTTAGGGTTTAGGGTTTGAGGTTAGGGTTAAGGGGTTGGTGTTTAGGGCTGAGGGTTGAGGATTTAGAGTTTAGGGTTTAGGATTTAGCAGTCATAAGACAAACATAGTTAAACCCTGCCACGACAGACCCGAAACAGCTTCTGGCTTCGACTAGCAGCTTCCATTTCCCGCAGTATTTTCTTGGGATCATTGTCATGGCTGTTATGCAATCTACCATTGAATGTTACGACATGTCATGGCTACCGTCACTGTTGTGGCTCTGATGGGGGAAGGTTTGCAGTGGCCTTCAGCGCATCCCAGGCATCTTTATGGAGCACATGGTGATCGAAGCCGTGTTCTGCGACGCGACGGAAGCCGTCGTGAGCGTCCCGGATCCTCTTGCTGGTGCTTTGGATTGGGGAGCACTCGGAGTTTAGGGAGCAACTCAATATGTGTAAGGTACGGCTTTTCGAGAAATAGCGGACTCCAGATGTATAAAGTAATGTATATGTGGATTGAAAGAGGTGTTCAGGAAGTCTTATGCTGCTAGGGGCGAGTTTGCAGAGCTATTGCCGGCTCTCAGCAAGGTTGTCCCTCGCTGCGAGCTCCACTGTCACAGTGATGACATTGCAAAACCCTTAGCCCTAAACCATTGAAGCTACGGCGTGAGATGTAAGCACCGAGGCGTTCTGGTTGGACCCCAAGGTTGATCTTTCAGAACCCGACCAGCCACAGCAAAACACTCCAAAGCCACTGAAGCCACACGAAAACAATCTGCAACCCTACAGACCCCGCCTCTAAAACCCTAACCCCTAAACCCTCCACAAAACAGCCCAAAACCCAAACCCAAAAGCCCTACTCACGTGAAACCCAATCTGGTACGAAAAGGGGTGCAGAGGTTCCCAAACACTGCGGGCTGTGGAATCCTCAGACTACCCAAACTTAGGTTCGATGTTTCAATTTTTCATTGAGGGCTCTACAACAGGATTGCGGTTCCTACAGGGCTTTCTATGTTAGGGTCTGCAATGAGGGTTCTGGATGTTAAGCACCCGGAACGCCACAGGCTTCAGGCCCTTTTCCCCCGCTCTCCCTTGCCGGCACTCCGACCGCAAAAGCCGAGCCCCACACTCCGGCCGTAACGAGACCCTGGACCCAACAGCACTGAATACTGCACCACCCCAGGTCTGAAACCAGTCGGGAAGCTCATTGCCATCGACACTCACCTGAGTCATGGCACTTGTCACATCTTCCGCGGGCGGGCTTGATGGGGGTGGTTCAGACAATTCGGGGTGCCTTAAGGATCCTACCGAAACTCTAAACCCTAGAACCTATAGATCCCTTCAAGGAACCCCATAATAGTACCCTTTTACGGAACCCTTATTTTTATAGACCCTAAACCCTAAACCCCATAGATCCCTTTAAGGAACCCTACAGCTCCCATTTCAGGAGCCCTTGAAGGAACCCTAGTTACTAAGTCCTATGATCCTTTAAGTAGGGTCCCCTACTCTCGGAGCCCCCATGTCCTGAGCCCTAGATCCCCAAACCAAACTGAAACCCTGAGATGGGGGGGAGCTCTGGCCTTGGCTAGTCAAGACTTTGGGGACTTTAGGGCTTAGGGTTTGAGGGGGGTTTAGGGCTTAGAGTTTAGGGGTTTAGGGGTTTAGGGCTTTGGTTTTAGGGTTTAGGGTTTAGGGGTTTAGGGTTTAAGGGTTTAAGGTTTAGGGATATGCATCTGCAATAGCTGGTGCGGTGTCTTCTCTTCTGTGCTACTGCTATCATCTACTGCCCAATTCCAATCTCTCGTCCTTTTTACAAAGCAATTCCTCCAGGCGGCGGCATTCATTGCCTGGCCGAAGCGCTCTGCAGCCGCCTCCCCAGAGAGGGATTTTTAGGATTTGTTGTGGTTTAGGGCTTCGGGATCTTTGTGTTAGCGCCTTCGGGTGTAGGGCTCAGGGTTTAAGGTTTAGGCAGTTCGGGCTTAAGCTTTGTTCGACGGGTCGGGTTGTGCAAGGTTTGTGTGCAGCTGTGGCACGATTTGCGTGGCAGGATAGCTGTAAGGCTTTGGGCCTATGCCCCTTCGAAAGTTGGGGACTGAGGGTCAGGGGTTCAGGTCTTTGTGACCCGGGCCGTTCTGCTTCGTCGGCCCGTTGCGGGTTCTTGAAATCTGCTTCCAGACATCTGTGCTTTGGCACCCAGAACCAGCCGTCAGTTGAGGAGGCCGGATCTCTAAACCCCAAACCCCTAGACTCTACCTATAGTCTCCATTGTAGTTCCTTTTTTTGGTTTAACCAATTTTATATTAAGGATCCGAAAAGGTAACCCCAAAAAGGAACTACAATGGAGACTATAGGTACACCCCTAAACCCAAAAGAAGCTTTCGGCCCGTTGCAAGGGTTGGCAGACTGGCAGGCCAAGCTGGGTGTAGTCATGTTGAAACACCAGAATGGAGGTCTAGGCCTATTTTAGGGTTTGTGGGTTAGGCATGAGGTTTCGGGCTTTAGGTTTAGGGTTTCGTGTTTAGGTTTTCAGGGTTCAGGGTTTAGGTTTCTGACCACCATGAAACTCCCGTGCACATAACAAGGGGTTTCTGCTCTCAACGGGCAGCTTCCTGTAGGTCTCACCTGTTTCATTCGTGAATTCTGCACATTAGCAAACACGAGAGAATCCCTGCACAGATTCACGTCGGGTTTACGTACGGTGTAGCGGTCTAGTACCTGTAGTGGTTTAGGCTTAGAGCTTAGGAGGAAGTATCGAGAGCAACAGCAATTTCAGCGAACTGTTACGGCCTGTTTTGACGCTTTCACCGTCTCAGGCAACGCCTGAAGCTCACTACGTTTATCAGAATGGTGAGTGAGCCCCAAACCCTCAACCAAGAATCTTAAAACTTAAACTTTGCCTTAAACCCCAACCCTGAAGCAAAACTTGCAAAAAATAAATAAAACCCATAAACCCCAAAGCCCCCAAATACCAAGCCAAAACGTTCTGGGCCAGCCTCCGCAGCCAGCGTGCTCTTTCCCGCAGCCGGAGGGCCAAAAATCCACAGCGCCTGCAGGACGAAAGCGGACAACCCTGAGCTTTGGGCGGGGGCGGGTCTAGCGTTTAGGGCGCACTTAACAACGGCTCCTTCGAGGTAAGAGTCTTGCAGAATGTCGGGTCTTGAGGCTTCGGTTTTAGGCCTGGCAACCCGGAGAAACGATACACACAGCTTGAGCCTTGCCAAGCACAGCTGTAGATGATATATTATAGTCTCATGCTGGTTGCGATGCTCGATTCTATGAATATCACTGTGAGTACTCTTGTCCCAGGAAGTAGCAGCTCCCAAAGCCCCAAATCGCCGCACCCCAAGCCCTCCAAATCTTCATCCTTGCACCCCCGATCCCAGACATCAGCAGCCTTCGGGCGGGCAGACTCCGGCACATGTTCGGCCCGGGTGAGCCCGACCTGGAGCAAAAAGGAGCTCTCGACTGGAACACCTCAAAGCTTAGAGTTTTGGGTAATACCCAAAACCCTAAACCCTAAACCCTGAACCCCTAAACCCTAAACCCTAAACCCTGAACCCTGAACCCTAAACCCGATACAGGAAACTCTGGAATGATGCCCTCCGACCCAAGGGTTTAGGGCTTAGGGTCCTTGGTTCAAGGCTCGCGGTGCGGTGCCCAGGTCAACCCCCTTAACAAATTTAGCTGCCCAAAGCTCTAACTGCGTAATATAGGGGCCTAAATTATTTCCCTTTTTGGCCTTTACTGTTTTGGGGGCTCCTTTTTATAGTTATAGCATAAGGGGCCCCAAAACCCTTTTCTAACTAATAAGTAGTAACATTCCCAAGATCGGTCCGAAACACGGATTCGACGGATGTTTCTGATGCATGCGCTCCTGTGCACACGCTGTTCTTCGGCTACCTGCTTGGCTCCATGCCAATGCCGTTTCCAGGATGCCAAAGGTTTTTTTTTTTTTTTTATGGGCTCTTTTCCACCTCCAGATACAGTTAGAACTCCTATACTAGGAGGAGCCAGTGGTTAGGGCCAAAGGTTTAGGGTTTAGGGTTCAAACGTCAGCTGCTTCGACGCGTTTCGGCTTTTGGCCAGATTCAACTTCGAAGTTCGGGGGGTTCTCAGCCACATTTCTGCTGGTTTCCGATCCAACGTGAGTGTTTTGGCCAGAGTTCTGCAATTCCTCCACATTTTGGTGATGTCCAGCCAAGTATTTTGCGTGATCCGAGCCAGAGTTTGGTAAACTTTGGTCTTGTGGTCCGCATTTCACGCCAGATTTAACTAAATTCAGTGGTTTCCGAGCAAGGTTTCGCATTGTCTGCAAATTTTGGAGGTTTTTCTAGATGCTTACCACATTTCGGTGTCTACCACAGATCTCTGCAGCGTTTCAACCTTCGGGTTTCCGGCCCCGAACGTTCTTGCGGTGCCCTGCCGCTCAAAGGCTGTCGTGCTTTCGGCCTACTTAAAGGATCATGGGACTTAGTAACTAGGGTCATAATTAGGGTAACTATACCTATAACTACGTATAACCCCATTAAGGTACTTATTTATAACCTTACTTGCTAAGTCCCATGATCCTGCAAGTATGTTTCAAATTAATCAAGATGGCCGACTATTCGTTGAAGTATCTTGGCTTTCATCGCAGATTACCCCCCACAAAAAATGCTGCGCTGGCACGCTGAAGAGCGCAGGCCCGGGCCCACAAAAACCCTAAACCCTAAACCCAAAACCCTAAACCCTAGATGGGAAAAGGCCCTGAAAGCCCAGCCTGGCTGTAGATCCTCTCCTTCTCCTCCTCGGTGAAAGGCTGGCTCCTCAGCACAAGGCGGTGTCCTAGAAGTGACCCGAGACTTCAGAGATTAGAGGCTCAGGGTCTAGGCTTTAAGGTGAGCTTAGAAATCAAAGCTTCAGGGGTTTGGGGGGTCTGGGGCTTCTGGCTTTGGGGTTCGGGGTTTAGCATCTAACTTCAATCTAACAACTGAAAGCTTCTCAGGAACCCGAAACTCAAGAGGCTTTACCATCCCAGCATTCTTCAGCGATGCCGCACTCTGCAATGCCACAAGAAAACGGTTATCGCGCTTCCTGGTAAAAGAAACCGCAACTCGTTCCTTTTGCTGGAAACGGCGGTCGTGCCTCCCAACCCTATCATGTTCCCAGACGAAGGCAGGGATAGCAAACAGAAGGTCCAGAAGTCCTTGACCCTAAACTGTAAATGCGAGAAGCTCTGCAAAACGGGCTAGGGGAGTTGGAGGAACACAGTTTAGACGAACAGTCGTGCACCCGACGCGCCGAGCCTGAAAATCCGAAGCCTGAAGCCCACAACCATAAAGCTTCAAAGGAAATCTGGCCCTCTTCAGACATGAGACAGAAGAGGCTTTAGCTCTGCAGGGATCTTACCCCGGGTAATGTGAAAGATCTCGTCGTTCTCCCCAGGCTTGCCCGGCAAGATGATTCCTTGGCACAGGGTCGAGCCTGAGGGACAAACCTTTAGCATTTAGGGGTTCAGGGCTTTGGACTTCGGGGTCAAGGCTTGCAGTGAAGGATTAGCAACATCTTCGGTGCTCAGTTTTAGCGCAGCAGCTTCCTCATGTTCCGGGCTTGGCTGAGGAACACCTGGGTTTGGGCTTCTCGCACACCTGAAAACTCTCAGGTGATCTGAATGCATCCCGAGGTGCGCTCCGTCTGCTGGACCTGGGGCGTGCCCATAAACCCTAAAGCCCAAGCCACAAACCATAACAACTCCTCCAAAAATCGTGGGAAGCCGAACCTCGAAAATTACGAGACTTGAGGCTCCAAGATTGGAGTAATGCCTTCTAGCTCCCTTGATGGAACCTCATATATCTCAAACGGTCTGAAAGCGCGTGCACAGCAGGGCAGTGCAGGATGGAACCTCATATAAAACCGCAGATGGGACGCCTTAGGGAACCTTGCAGAACCCCTTACAGAACCCTTCCGGAGCCCTTACGTTAAGGACCTTCACGTTTCGGGCTTTCGGACCGTGGAGCTTAAGGCAACAAGTTGGGGCATAGTAACCTTTCTTGAAATCTTTATGGTAAACACTCGGCTTTAAAGCTTAAGGGTGAAGGGTTTCGGGGTTTAGGAGGTTACTGTAGAGCTTTCGGGGTTTATGGTTCGGGCTCAGGGTGCAACTTATAAAGTAACTACCCTACAAAGGCCCTGAACCCATTTTTAAGCTGTCCCAAACTCAATCTATGGCGTTCTCCCGGACCACCTTAGACCTGTTTCTTGATGGATGTTCCCGCAAACTGTACAGCCCAATCCCAGAAAATGCCGTCAGAGAAAGTCAAGGAGCAGAAGACACGAAGGCCGATCCTAAAAGTAGTGAGCTTCTTCGAGCGACCATCTCTTGCTGATTGCGGCACATCCTAAACTGCCTCTTCAACACCTGTACAGAGAGGCCTGAGGGCCAAACGGCGACGTCAAGAGTTAAAAAAAGGGTTCTGGGTTTGGGGAAGAGACACTATTTTGCGATGAAATTCGAGGGCCATATCAAGATTCAATAGTAGAGCTTAGGATTTCGGATTTAGAGTGCTGGGTAGGTGCAACACCACTGAGGCCGCTGCTATGATTCTTTCTTGCCGTTCCCGTGATTTTTGTTCAAGGGGATGGTTAAACATGTGCGGACGTGGCTTGAAACGACGGTTCTGGGCAGCTTTGGTGGATCCCAAAGGTCTGACATCCCATGCAACAATTCTTTTGAAACTACAAACGGTCATAAATTATGAGGTCTAAGTTGCGGAGCATTGTTCGGACTTGGGACTAAAGCTTCGGGAAAGCAAAGTAGCGAATGCCACATCCCAGTCTATGGTCGCTTTGGGGCGACCCGAGCCGTTTACATGGACTGCAAAACACCGCTCCGAGTTTTGAGCAGCACTGCTGTACGACCTGGTAGGGTTTTCTCGCGTTCCAATGTTTTGTTACGAACGCCGATCGGCTCGGCACCACTTGAGATTGGAATGATGAAGCATCCACTGTAGTAACTGTAGAAATCAACTGAAGATCTACTGACCCCCGCCTTTTTTGCGTTCGTATTGATGAGCCAAGCATTCAAACATTTCACATTTTGCGACGTATTTCTGCTTTGCTGCTGTCAAACCGAGCCCTGCAGCTTTCTGAGGCCGAACCATGCCAAAAAACTATGCATGTGGAGAGGCAATGCAGTGAAGCTGACGAGCTGGCGGCAAAGTGGAACCCACACACATCCGCTGAACTGTATGTGCAATTCGGCCGCAATGCGACAAAACCAAATGTGGGTCGATAGATGGTGACGCAATCAAGCCTCAAGGGACTCGGTTCTACCGGTCACTTTCTCAACATCATCAAACCCACTTTAAGGCCTCTGAAACCCTTCTAACACTGATCAAACCCACCCAAACCACCCCAAACTCACCCTAAACCCACCTAAACCCCTTCCACACACGCTCAAACCATTTTATTCAAGCTTTGGGAAGTGTAACACATTAGTTAACACCATAGAAGTGGTGTTTGGCACCTTGCTGCCACTGTGGTCAGAACAAAGCCAAAAAACTGCGGCAAGGCCAAAGCCCCGCCTTGATATCAGTTCCAAGGGAAAACGTGTTTTTGGTTTAGGCAGGCCAACTGAAAAAGGGAGGGAAGACTGCGCCCCGCTAGAATTCATTTACCCCTGGTCTGCTAGCAGAGGTTATCAAGGCTTGGAAATCGTCTGAAGAGGTGAAGAAAGAGCCCAGCTGAACGACAGGGACAATTTATCCCAAAGCAGCCGCACATGCGGAAGAGATCTGGCATGGGCGGTGAGGAGCACAGGCGCTCCCCTTCCTGCGCGCTGCTAGGCCAAGTATCCACTTCAGCACGCGTGCCAAGAAGGTGTTTGGGCAATCAACAAGAAGGCGCAGTGCGGCAAAGCGAAATGGCCGCATTTGACCACGGGCCGGTGCAAACAAAGGATAGCCCAGGGGCAGCCGCCAGGCTCCATTCTACGGAGGGAGGGGTTCGTCAGCTGCAAGCTCGGCTCGATGAGGCAAACCGCAGACACAGGCCAACTCCTTGCAAATTGCTGTTGGGCCAAGAGCGCCAGATTGGCCCCTGTTCCAAGCCCCAGAACCTACCATTTCAGCAGCATAATCTCCTTGGACTTTTTGGACATCTGACCGCCACTGGCGAACCAGTTCCATGAGATCAAGCTGGCTGCTGCAACTATCTGTGCCTGGATTGGCTTCGTATTCACCAGTGTGATCCGATTGCGTCCAAAGGCTCGTCCTTGCCTGCTCAGGACTGGTGTGCTGAGGTGGAGGGGGTTGGCAGCCAGAAGTTCTAATCCTCTTCCCGCTCATCGAGCCGAGGCTGGGCCTGGAGGCTGACTGTGCCGCTTGGAGACTGGAGCCCGCAGGCTGTCGGGCGTGAGGCTGGGAGACTGCGACGTTCCAGGGCTTGGAGGATGGACTTAGAGACTGGACGCTGCTGGGCCCGAGCCTGGAGACTGCAGGCTGGTGAGGGACTCGAGACTGGAGGCTGCAGGGTGGAGCAGTCAGCCGGTTTACCCACAGGTCGCCGCTCCCGCCCTTGCGCCGTCAAGTGTTGCCCCCTTCCTGGTCGCTTTTTGGGGCCATTGCACCGTGGTGCGGTGCAAGAGTGAGGACTTGAGTGAACGCAGGGGAGCGAGGGCCTAGGCCTGGTGAGGAGGGCATCTTGCAGGCAGCTGGGAGCTGGGGCCGGCAGGGAATGAGTGCACGTGGAGGCTGCAGCGAGGGCACCCGCAGTGAGGGCACATGTGAGGGCACCTGGCAGCAGCAGCGAGGGCCCCGCCGCGCCGTCGTCGTCACGTCGTCGTCGCACTGCAGCCCGCAAAACAACTTTTTCGACAACGAAGTACCAGTATGAGTTCACCTGTCATATCTTCCATCCCAAGTCAAGTGTCCACAGCCTTGCACACCTTGAGACCCTAACTCACTTCACCAAGACCCACACAACCTCCATTTCCAGTGACCTCGCCGCTGCGTCGTCGCCGCGTCGTCATCGCTGCGCCGTCGTCGTCGCGTCGTCGTCGCGTCGCCGCCGCGCCGTGTCGTCGCCGCATCTTCGTCGCCACTCTATCCTCACCTCTATCCTCGCCCTATCCTCACCGTCGTCGTCCCTGCGTCGTCGTCGCCGCTGCCTGCGCCGTCGCGGCTCTGAGGGAACATTTGGGGCAACGTTTGCGGGGGTGGGGTAACATTTTGGGTAACGCGGCTCTGCGTCACCGTCGTCGCCGCGCCGTCGTCGCCGCGTCGTCGTCGTCGTCGTCGCGTCGTCGCTCATCCGCCCGCTCACTCGCGGCTCGGCCACCCCTTCGTCGGTGCACCGTCGTCGCCGCTGTCGTCATTGCTGCCCCGCAAACTGCAGGCGCACCGCGCCCTCTCGTCGTCGCAGCGTCGTGGTCGCCGCGTCGTCGCGTCGTCGCGCCGTGTCGTCGCCACATCGTCGCTGTTCCCGCGTCGCCGCATCTCTCTCCTCACCTCTATCCTCACCTCACGTCTTGTCGCCGTCCTCGTCGCCATTCCCCGCGCAGGATGCACCTCCGCCGTGCGGCTCGATACGTTCATCCGCCCGCTAGCACCCCAAGGTGCCCTCGCTTGGAGGCTGGAAGCTGCAGGGCCTGGAGGCTGAGGCTGGTGGAGGCTGGGCGTGAAACTGGAGGCGTGGAAACAGAGACTGGAGGCTGCAACCTTTGGAGACAGGAGGCAGCATTTCGGCGGCAATATTTGGGTGGCAACATTTCGGTGGCAACATTTCGGTGGCAACGTTTCGGTGGCAACGTTTCCGTGGCAACGTTTCGGTGGCAACATTTCGGTAACGCGGCTCTGGGCAACGCCGGCTCTGGGTAAACATTTGGGGTAACGCGGTTCTGAGCCATCGCCGCGTCTCCGTCGTCGTGTCCGTCGCGTCGTCGTCGCCGCATCGTCGTCTCCTCGCCGCGTCGTCGTCGTCGCTTCACCGTGTGTCGTCGCTGCGCCGTCGCAGCCCGCCGCCGACTCGCTGCCACCCGCCCGTCGCCTTAAGCCGCTCGGTCGTCGCTCGCTCATCCGTGGCGCGCTCGCCCGCCGTCGCCGCCTCCCCGCCTCTGTCGCCGTCGGAATGGAGGCCTATAGGACCCCCAGCAACAGGTCGCACCGAGCCGCCCCCCCGCATCGTCTTCGCGCCGTCGTCGCTTACCCGCTCACCGCCCGCCACTCACCGCCCGCCGTCGCGGCGCCGCCGCGTCCCCCCGCTGCGTCGTCGTCGCTGCTCCCTCGATCTACCTCCACCTCCATATCCTCACCTCGCTGCCGAATCGTCCCAGCGCCTTCGTCGCCGCCGCCCCCGCCCGCCCGCTGTGTCGTCGTCGCCGCTCCCTCTACCTCTACCTCCACCTCTATCCTCACCCTATCCTGCGTTCCTGCAGATCCAACTCCTCAAAACTTCAAAGCGGGGCCTGTTGAGGATGGCGAAGAAGCGGACCTGGGATCGGGGTTGCACAGCAGCGCATAACAAGGTGACGCCCGCACCAAAAACACGCAGGCCGACACTGGTCTCAGAACCCTTTTGGAAACAGGCTTTACGTCACAAGGAAAGTTTGGCCCCAAACTCAACCACCCAGTCCTCCTACCAAGGTTCCAAAGCTGACGAGCTCCAAGGTTCTGACGCCGTTGGAGACGCAGATGTGCACCCTGAAAGGCGAAAGGGTTCTT